GTGATCACCGTTGATGGTAAAACAACAAGAAAAGTATCGCGTTTCAAGAAAATAAACCAATGTCCAGGAAAGGCACAACAAAGTAAGCAGCAACTTGATGAGGAAATAGAGGAGCTGAAGGACGACTTGGAAGCTGGTAAACCAGTAAACACTCCAGAAAAACAGCCTGTTTGTGTTAGGTCAAGTCCTACTGTATCGACACACTGTGAAGTGATGCCGCGACTACGCAGGAGTGCTAGAGAGAGGAAAAAGAACACTTGTTATGATGACTTTGTGCAAAATTAGTAATGACTTGCAGTGTTTGGGGCACAATAATCCCCGCTAGTCATTGAGACCCAGAGGTCTCTAGTTAACCTCGTGGTTTGTCATTGTTGCTATAATTGAGTATTTCCAGTGTGATGAAGGTAAAAAATATAAGATCTCTAAACCCATTTATATAAATCATTCTTTATTTTTCAAGTGATTGGACAATGATAATCGTTTACCGAGTGATAAAGACATTCAGTGGAAAAGACAATGTAAATTATTATATCATTACATGTACATTTAAAAAATAAACTATGAAAAGTGTAGTCAATGATTATGAACATGTTTTAATTAAAAAAATGGGAGAGATGTAATGTCCATTTTATATAATCAATACTTTAGTATGTACCCAACCAGAACACCGGAAGTAACTCTTTACTAATAAAGTTAGTAATGTAATAACCAGCATGGCCTCCAGAGTTGTGTGTTCGCCATCTATGAATCTACTTTGAAATATATCGGCTATCATCAGAGTCGTTACCACAGCAATATTTACCGTTGAATGTGCCAAACTCGGCAAATTTATACTAAACCACGTCCCATCCCCCGACACCCCGCCCCTCTATAAGTAAGGACGATTACTCCAATCTATATGCTTAATCAACATTCCCTGTCAGTGTTCTTCGTACCTTATACCATTTAGATCAGTGTCGTACTGTTATAGGATTAGTGAAAATAATGTTTCAAAACAAAAGATCTTAACGTCATAGTTATGGAAGATAACTTCAATATATTTACTTTATTTATATTCTCTCGCATCTTCGATACTCCTGGGGTTACACTCACATTCGTTCTCTGCACCCCTGGAATATTTCATAGCAAAATAGAAGGTTTAGTATGCACATGTTGTGGATGAGACGAGAAGACTAGTTTGATCCTTTGACGTACATCAAAAGAATCTCTCGATCGCGTAGCGGTGAAATTAACTGGCTTTGAATCCCCGCTCTGTATTCTTTGTACCACTGCTAACATTGCACTTCTGCATTGAAAACGTTTATCCCGCAGGGCTATAGCTTCAAATAATGAAGGAATAAATCTGGTTTTATTGTGAAAAATATCATACTAGACTACGTCTTGGATGCAGTTCTTTAAAACACCATCTTTTTGAAAGAAATCTTGTTGACAATCCATTATGTTCATGTGGACATTTTGTAGAAGACAGTTCCCACTATTTGTTGTTTTGTACTAATCACAATGAATCACGCCAAAGGTACTTGTATCCTATGCCTTACCAATTAAGTGTTGATTATTATTTTTTGGTGATGTATCAGAAAGGTATGAGCAAAATGTAAAAATTGTTATAGCTACTCAAATTTTTTATCAAATCGACAAGAAGATTTACAAGCAATAAGAATGTAACTACATGAAGTTATCATGTAAACTTTACTACCCATCCAACCGGGTAAAACTCCATCAGTTACTTTCTTTATCCCCAATATCATGTTCTATCTTTCTTTCTTAACAGTCCCTTATGTACATATTAAGGCTTTCATTGCAAAGTTATGCATGTATTATCAGCTAAGCTTGTTATAAACGATGAGAAGGAATATGCATAAGTACAAAAGTATAAAATACGGTTTAAACTAAAACTAAAAATGAAATACAAATTTCCTATTTGATGAAACGACTTTGTGATTGTAAAACAATACATGAAAGACAGATACTAATGCCAACTTTCGTGCATAAAAATGATGTAAAAGATTGAGTAAATTGTTGTATTCTTAAACTTATATTCTGCAAGCCCACTTGATACATTTTCAGGACTAAAATAAAAAATATATGAGAAGAAATGTAAATGTTGCAGGCGTACTTTAAGAAAATGAGTAAAATGAAACAAATATGAAAAATAATCAACAAGTGAGAAAAATATCATATTGTGTATTATAATAACCAATATTAACAATTGCAACGAAACCCAACACAACTTTTATGATTTATCGTATTAAGAACATACTGAAAATTCGAAGGGAGGTAACTCGTGTAAAATACAATACATTACGATGGTGTTCGTGTGTAGGTAGCAGTGTACAGTAGAAATGGCTTGACCCTAAAAATAAAGGGCATGTCTCAGATAAACATGGAAAGTGAATTCAACCTGCACAACACACCTACATATATATATACATATTTATAAACTACATTTTGATTTCATTTTGTTTAGAAGACTGAATTTTTTCCAAAACTGTTTTCCCCAGATTTGGGACTTGTGAAAACCATGGTACCCACATCAAAAAACACCAAAATATGCAAAAAAACATGATTTTTAACCCAAAATTTGACCCCCGCAAGTAGTAACTTTTTTCTTAAAACCCGTCTGAAAATAAATACCGCCTACTCGGTAACAGCAATACTCACGCTCAAGCATAGGTCATTCCGATGTAGCTGGGGCATTGTTTAAAATATAAAGGGATTTGCTATTTTAGGAATAACCACTTGCAAATAAACTTGTTTTGTTTTGTTCATATATAAACGTGGCATCGTCATAGCAACTATATTGACAAAATGGATTCGCAGGCACCCGCACATCGACGGTTTTGATAACGAATATACTTGACAAAACAGTTTTAGATGCTTTCCAACGTCGCAATTCTAAACTATTTTCATTGCGAAGAGACATAACAGTTGCATGTATTACGCATGCAGTCTTTGATTTAGTTATATAAAAAATTGGTAACGACACATACAATGTATTTTGTGTCTTTGCATCGCCACCTCACAAAGATTATAACGCAATAGAATGCTTAAGTGATTTCAGGGTTATTGAGGCTACCATCTTTCTTTTGTGTCCAAAGTCAAGATTGTCCTTTTGTAAAATTGGAAAAATGGTCTTTTTAACCAACTCAGCATTCAGACTGCAGTGTATGAGTCAAGTACCGCGAGGAAAATCCTACGTATGCTAGGAGAATCTCTGAACAATTGTAAATTTCCACCTAAAAAACAATATTTCCAGTTTTTGACAGTTAAAGGGCGCACTCATAGTAAGTCATCTTATACACTATAACACACGCATTCAATAATTTATCTCGAGCAAATATAAGATAAAGAATAAAGACTTCCTTGTGTCAATTAAATTCCAAAAAAACTACCATTATCAAACCGAAACCAACGTTTATTTTATTTGATCAATGCCATAAAGAGGCCGCAGTGATTCGAGTGCTTAAACCGTCTATGATCAGGTACTCGTCTCAAGTTGTTAGTTTTTCTTCGGGTTCTCCGGCTTACCTCCACCACCAAAACGTGGATCGTCATTAATTGCCAATGGCCGTTTATATAAGGTAAATCAACTAACGAAACAATCAAATGTAACTGGAACGTAGTGTTTGACTGAAACATTATATTAACAGAGAAGCTGATAAATACACTGAAACATCAAATATAAAACATATAGCTTAAGTAATTCACAAATTATGATATAGCCATCTTTATGTGAAATGAATTTTAAATATATAAAGGACTAATACCTTTCCCTTTCAAAGAGTACACAAAAGAAATGTAATATGATGACAATCTGCCGTAAAAAAAATACAACATACATGGGTACTTTCAGTTATGGTATAAAACACAGCAACACATTTGCAGTTGAAGTATGAAGGTTTTATGTCGTGCTAAAACTTTAGCCATTTCGGCCACACAAACTTGTTTACATCGTGAATAGATGTTTTCCTCCTCTTCGTATAACATTTTGAATAAAGGTGTAAGCTCTGTAGTCAAATGTCATTCCTAGGTAATCGTAAATTGTAGGTACCATTTTTTTTGCGATGAAAAATATTGGGATATTTCTTTATTCCGGAAAAACGCAGATAGAGTACACAGTATTTTCATCTGCAATGGAACAGTATTATTGAATGGGAACAGATGTGAATCTGTACACCAAAGATACATGTCTGCATTTTGAGACTGCTGAGCAAACAGTATTATGGAAAAAAATTACTACACTAAATTTTGTTTCCAGCAACATCCTTGATGCGGTCAAAAGCATTATAACCGAGAAGAAAATAAAGGTATTGACACAAAGTAAGATAGCAATAACTGTCAGTTTCTTATTTACCTAACTTAATTTCAGTTGATTACTTTTTTGATAATCATACCTTATCAGTTGACTTCACTTATTTAACCTTCAACGGTTAATATTTACATTTCCACTGCAAGTTCCTCTATGAACACTACCACACTAAATTGTATTCATAGGGGTATGCAAGCAGTTGGTTCAACATCATTTCGAAGCTTCTTCTACCGCCTCGAATAACATTAGACAACCGCTCGAAGCAAACATTTTGATGACGTTAGACTGTTCCAGGAATCTCGTTTGCACGGACGACATAAACACTTCAATATAGGAAATATAAGGAGAATATCTGTATTCAGGTCAGTAATAAGTACAAATTTAGAATGTAAACATAAATATTGAACGGCATTATTGCAATGTTCATGACGGTGTGAGCCCTAGCTTCACAGAAAAAGTATGTAACCGATTTGCATTCATACCAACATGAAACTAAAAAAGTGCTGTTTTATCCTTATTTCAAAGTCCTGGTAAACTAAGGACCCACAAAGATACCTGTTTGCTCTGTTTTAATTGCACCGATAAAGATCCGTTTGTCAGTGTCCCTCCTTTAGAGATAGCAATGGTAGCCATGCACATTTCGATTATCACCAAATTCCTGTAATTATACAAGTCGTATACTTCCATTCAATTACTTCTGGCTCCCACGCCGTTTGCGTACGTGCAAGACCATACGGGTGAAATCGGGGACAACAATCACTCCAGTAATCACGGATAAGACGACACCCGCGAAATAACCGATTGCGATGCTGCTTGGCCGGGAATCATGCTCGCTTATAAATTTTCGTTTAAAATTAGACGTAGACTTTTTCGTAACAGTAAGCAGGGATTGTAGCTGATACAATATTTTCTGTTGTTGTTCCCTTGACAGTTTTGTTGATTTGTTCCATTTGTTTTTACAACAGGTACAGTTTAAGGTACTGTTCCCAGTTTCAACCGAAAGTGTGGTAATGACAGTATTCCTGTCTGCAATATTCCAAATATCTGTTGTTTCAGTATCTGCAGTGGTCTGACTATCTGTTATTGATGTCTGGACAGTAGGGTCCCGAATATCTGTTGTTTGAGTATCGGCAGTGGTCTGAATATCTGCTATTGATGTCTGGACTGTTATGTTCTGAATATCTGTTGTTTCGAAACCTGCAATGGTCTGACTATCTGCTATTGATGTCTGGACTGTCGTATTCCGAATTGCTGTTGTTTGAGTATCTGCAGTGGTCTGAATATCTGATATTGTTGTTTGAGTATCTGCAGTGGTCTGAATATCTGATATTGTTGTGGGAGTATCTGCAAACATCAATAAATGAATCGTTAACGGCATGCTTAACCTGCGAGTATGCATAAGTTAAACGGAACATATTACTACAACATATAATGAAAGTATAAAGAATGTGGTCTTTTGAAAAGTCAACGAGTGGAGCATACTAGAAAAGTAAGAGTACAAAGAAAAGTGTATGTCCATGTGCTCGTGTTTTATGACCAGTCAACGATATGAACTTAAAACAAAACATAATATTTGATGAATTTCTATTTAGACCATGGCGAACAACGATATTATCAGAAATCCATGAATGTTCGCACAATTAATAAAACAACAGTTTCTTTTAAATCATTTCAAATTCATTTATATTTCTGTTAATCCTTTAATAGCAAATTGTTTTTTATTGTCAGAAAAGTAATTCAGGATGGCTTATTTGAAGTTTTTTTTTTATACATATATCTGACTAATTTAAAAAGTTAATTGAAAAAATAACGTGATCATAATTAACATTATATACGTGTCAGATCAACAGAATGTTACATCCAAAATAAAATTTAAATGAGGAAGAAACTTCTGACATATGTTATCTTATTCTCGTTGATATGATAATCTGCAGTAAAAAATATATTTCAAAACGTGACTCGATTTGTTCATACCAATTCACAGCAACGTAATTATGCATCGAGCACTAACTAGTAATTAATCTATTCTCAAACGGATCGTCGTTCTCATGTGCCATGATTTTAATATCTGTCTAGGATTTTTGCGCCATGTAGTACACATAGTCGGAAATATTGATAAGTACGATTGTTTCTCAATCTTTTGCTGGTTTAACCTTGAATATATTCACTTTTTTGCTTCTTAAATAAACCGGAAAATAACGTGCTTTTTATAAAACTCTTTTAATTTTTATTTAAAAATTTAATATTTTTTTCTGAGCGTGAAAGGACATCTGATTCTTGCTGCTCGTTTCCCACAGTTGCTCTATCGAGTGTTCTTTTCGTGTTTTCTATACCATCTAGAAAACAGTTTGTTTTATTGGATTAAATTTGTAAAAAGAATTGAAGAAATGGTTATTTTCATTTTAGTTAAGATAAATACTGATAATTAAAAAAATACACACATTATGTAATATTTGACAGACTTGTTGCAGTTCAATAATAAAACCATTTTTTTTTTCTCTTTTTTTTTTCTTTCTGTAAAATAATAAGATGCCCCCAAACATCATAACACATCATCCCGCTATTTAAAACGGAAAATTGGACATTAGAGAGGCTCTATATTTTGTAAATCTGTCCTTGTAAAACATTATTTTTCTCAATCAATAGCTTACCTATGCTGTAAACAGACATCCTCCAAGTTCCTCCACAAGTCTCGCTCTGGTTCCCACCACAGGCCTGGCTGCACGCATCGTCTGTGGTTAGCTGAGTCATATCAATGTCATTTCCACAAAAGCAGTGTGTACTGAACTGCAACGAATAGAATATTCATAAAAATTTAAACAGACACAAGTTATTGTTTCTTCAATATTTTCTTAATATATATTCCTAACTCTTGATTAAATATACTGACAATTTACATATTTCAGTAAAATTAACTCCAAAGTTATCGATTGCTCCTATCAGTCATTTTGAAGTGAATGGAGTGGGGGTCATTTAAAAGTGAATCCCATTCCTAAAATATATGAAAGTTCATTGGAACCTCGCTATTAAACCCTCGAAACAAACTAAAATTGATGGGTATTGCTTTCAATTGCGTATGTCTGAATAAAGATATAAACAAAATACCAGATTTCTTCAAGAATGATACCTAGTTGTGGCATTTTCACAATAGATGGTATAACACTCGCACGGGTCCTAATGTGGGACGAAACTGTAGTATCCCTAGGAAAACCCAGTTAGTGTGAAAAGTGACGCCATACCTTGGTGGCATTCGTAAGAGTGCCATTAATATTTCACAAGTATGGCAGAATACCGAGTATCGGTATATTCTGTTTTACGATAGGATTTTTATGTTGTTCAAAGGAAAACCGTATCTCTTTTTATAATGATAAAATGCATATGAAAGTAGTCCCTAATAATATTCTAATAGCTGCATGCTGACAATAAGGCTGTGCAATATATCAATTGGTTGCTGAACGCAACACTTCTACCTAGACTACATTGTCAGGAGTTCAGCTAGAACAGGTCAGTGTTACAGTTAGATGCAAACCCATGTTTTAGCGGTATACTAATCACCTCCTACCAGATAAAACATATGATTCTAATAAAAGAGTTACTTTAAAAACCATTCGTTACCCTATTAACGGAAAGTAGTTGTTATTGATTTTTCCAGAATCGATAACAGGCTTACCTGTGTGCCGGCTAAAATGTTGCCGTGCTGGAAACAATACTGAATGCACTGGTCTGTAGTAAGTTGAGAATCATGGTATCGGTTTTCTTTTATTAGTCGGTCGGCATTGTCAATGAAGCAACCGAGGTATGCTGAAAAAATGGCAGGAGAACCTCAATATACGTATTATATCGTGATATAACATTACAACAGCAGACACATCAAAATCTTGTATAAAAAATGAAAAGTCTACAACATCTTCTACACTGTGCATTGGATAATAACCATGTCTTATTTTCCAACAGACTGTACACGCACAAACCTGTTTCCAAATCTCCCCCGAAACTGAAATGTAAACAACCGAGCCAGGGACTGGTCGAGGGTATACGCATTTAATTGTGTGGGTATTTGAAGATTTGCTAGCAGTTTAACAAAAAAGTTAATAATTTATCTATAGATCTTCTTTAAACCCGTTAAGTTTACGGTCAGAATGTTCCGCAGAAGTTACTACGAAGGTGACTTGGAAAAGTGTTTGTAAAACTGTCAAATTCTGATTTCATGTGTTGACGAGCGATGTGAATAGATTGGCGGTTTAAATTGAAATAAACATCTGGTATAATGCGTGACGTCAGCGTTTAATTGTTTGATGTCTGTCGAATAATGACGACTGAAGAAGTCTTTTCCAAATATATTCCGCTTGAATAAACAACATATAACAATTGCCGAAAGGGCATCATGATAGAAACGTCCAGTTTGTTGTGAAATGAAGTCGTATAGGCATCCATGACAAATTTGGCACGCACAGAAGTGCAGTTAAATTAAATAATAACCTTAGCAAGGTCACCTTGCTTATTATAAGAGTGTGGACACTAAGGTAAACGCGAAAAAGACTTTCGGTTTACCAGGTAGAATAGATATAAACAACATATCTGGGGTTTTTGAACATGTGATCACCCTCCTTATATATTCAACTTTAAAGCTAGCACATAATTATGTTGATTTTTATGCTAGAAATTACGATAACTCGTATGTCATGATACACAATTTATAAGGATTCAAACACATATTTTAAACTTTATTGAGGTATGCATCTAAGTTGATTATAACACTTCACAACAGCGTCCCTTAATAAATATCTCTGCAGGTAAAACTAATGGATTTCCCCATTAAAGTTCCAAATATGCGCTTCAAAACCCATATTTATATGTCACTAATAAATGAAAAGATGAAAACTGGGAAATAAAAATTATCGTATATTTAGTATCTATACAAATAAAACGCACAGCAAACTCAACATAAAGGAGCAAAAATTGAATGAAATTTATATAAAATTTCATTAATTACATAAATTGAATGAAATTAATATAAAATACCATTAATTACAAAAATTAAATGAAATTAATATAAAATACCGTTAATTACAAAAATTGAATGAAATTAATATGAAAATACCGTTAATTACAAATATTGATTAAATCACAAGGGATGCGTTTCCAATAAAGCGAAATTAATAATAGGTATTAATAATTAAAATTCGAAACATGTCAACCTGGTCTCTTGTTAGAAAACGTTGTACTAACACTTCGGGGTTTGCTGGAGCTGAAATGAAATTTAATGATGAAGTTATCAGAGATACTGCTCGCCTAGCCTTTCACTGGTTTTTTGCAGATATTTATTCCGAAAACTCTAGTGAAGATTTTGATGCACAAATAAAGTAATTATCGATGAATCTGTAACAGGTATTCTGAGTAATCATGACTCGGAAAACGACTACTTTGATAATTTTTTCTTTAATTGAGGTCAAGTGCATCTGCAAAAAACTCCCTGTTGGCAAAGCAGCTGGGTATGATCATATTGTTTATGAGTACTTGATATATGCTAACGACACATTATACAACTGTTTATGTGTTTTATTTAACGCATTCCACAGGTTAGAGCATGTTCCACCTCTGCTTACAAAAGGTCTGATTTGTACACTGTATAAAGGTCACAACAAACCTTAGAGTGATTCCAATAGTTATCATGCCATTTCCTTACTTTTTATTATTTTAAAGGTTTTTGAAAAATTACTACTTGTGCGACTGGATTCAACAAATCTCTTTAAGATTAATCCGTTTCAAAACGGTTTTCAAAAGAACGTCAGTAGTACGATGACTTCTTACTTAGCTCACGAGTCTGTTTCGTATGCTTGTGACAATACCCAATAAAGTGTTTGCTTGCTTCCTAGATGCTGCCAAAGCCTTTGACTGCGTATGGCATAATGGCCTATTTTTTAAACTCGCCAGCATCGGCTTTAATTCAAAGTATATTCATATTATTGCTTCTTTATATGAAAATATGTTTATTGCTGTTTTGCACCAAGGCTTCGTTTCCGATTGGTTCAAAGTCTGCCAAGGTACGCGTCAAGGAAGCATTATCTCTACTTCGTTATATACACTTTTTATTAATGATTTGTTAAATGATTTGTGCGCTGCAAAGTATTCATTTCTTATTCAAGACGTTAATGTAACTTGTCCAACTCAAGCTGACGATATTATGTTGTTATCTCTTTGTAAACGTGGTTAGGACAATCTCATGGATATCTGCTACACTTACAGCTGAAAATGGAGATTCAAATACAACGCGTCTAAGTCTGTTGTGATTGTCTTTAATGAAGGTAAAAATGCATTTTCAAAGACGATTTGGAGCTGGTCACTCGGCAATGAAATTATCTCAGAGGCTGTTGGGACAAAACACGTCGGCATCTTCTTAAACAAATTCAAACCTGGCTGTCCAGACATCAATGATATTGTTAACAAGCTACGTAGTCAATGTTTTGCCCTACTCCATTGTAACTTTTTCTGTACTGGGATCAATCCAATGACAGGTGCAAAGTTATATAAGTCTATTGTTTTGCCTAGAAGCCTCTTTGGTTTTCTCTAATAGAAACTGATTTGTCTCGTATTGAACTGTACATCACTTATGTGCAAAGCTCATTCAAAGTTTTCCCCGTCGCACACGATCAGATATCGCTCTCAGTATGTTAGGCCTATCCAAACTTCGCTTTTTTGCTGCTTTATGTAGACTAGATATACGATTTACTGTAAAGAGATTTTTTTATGATTCGTCTTTTTCACACATATTTTGGATTTTTTCAATGTGGAAAAGGTTTTATTTCAGATGTTTGGAAAATGTTTCATAAATAGGAATTACATCATACAGTACGTTGTTGGCCTTCTTACAAAAATGATTCTTTCCTCCTAAACAATCATGGAAACGTCTAACGAAGGATGTTCTAATTCGTAATTACACTTATGAGTGGAGGCAGTGCCTCCTTCTCAGCAGAGACTTTTCTAGATTTATGTATCTGCAATATGATATCTGTCCATCGACGATTTGGTTTTTATCTAAATGTTTTCCCCACTTTTGTAGAACATGCGCTAATGTTGCAAAGCTCTGGATTATTTCTCCAGATTGTGAATTAGCATGTGCACCATGCAATGTGCTTGTAGCCGATGTAGTTGCACATTATATCTTGGACTGTTCTGGCGAAGAAGTGTTAGCTTTACGCGATAACATATTCTCCAAAATTGTCAACGACTACCCTGTTCATGCTTACGTTGCACTGGACCAGGCGAGTCGGGATATTCAAATTGGCAACGTTTCTTGGCTCTCCTCTTGATCTGTTTTCGATTATTTTTTGGAGAAGACGTCGATCTTTTCTGGTCTTTTGTACGAGACTGCTGCATTTTTGCAGAAAAGGCTTGTGCTCTTACCTTCCAATAATACATGAGTTCCTGAAAATAACCTTTTTTTGTATTATACTGGTTGAAGGCTACGCAATCGTTAAATATATAAGTTTGCATCATTTAATCAGCTTTTTTTCAGTCATTATACATTATTTTGTAACTGTATTAATTTTCTTATATCTATTGTTTATTTAACATTTGTATTTCATATAACTCTTCATGTTTGGAGGAATAAAGATATGAATGAATGAACTTAGATTCTTTGCAATGGCTAAACTCATATTTAAAATATCAATATCTCTAAAAAGTTTTAAATTTAAATTTAAATAACCTGTTTTGGCATACCCCCATGCGTAAAAGTACACCACAGATTTTAGCACAAGTTACATAACACATTATACACACCTTTTAAAAGCACAATTTAGCATTTATCACCATTATTGTTCGATATAATAAATGTGCCCATTTCAAGTGTATGATAGTTGTTATCTGGCTTCTGCATGAAGTTGTGCTGTCATAGGTTGGTTGTTTCTTCATAACTGTTATACCGTGCACAACAAGACTATGAACAGCAAGTAGCCCCTCAGCAACACAGAACAAGCTATTACAAAAGTTGCACATGTGAGTATCTGTATGTGTATGTGCTTGTTGACTAAATCCAACTTAAATTCCATTTTTTTAAGTGAATTGTAGATTCATGTTTATTCCTGTCATAATATATACCTTGACCAACATCTTTTTTTATTGATTTTATGTGTTTCTGTTGTGTGTTTACTCAGATAATTAGCTGTTGATAGCATTACATCTCCCCTACCCCCGATATTCTCCCTGTAAAGTGCCAGCATCCCAGGGAGCAAGAAGTGCTATATGTTAGTCTGTATAATTGATAGCTGATCAGTTTAGATGGATATCTGATAACCTTCTATGACTCATGTTTTGTATAGAATTTTGGAGTTTTGTGTGAATTCTAATTGTATTAAATTGTAAAAATTCTATCAAATTTACTAAAAAAAAGTATTTAATTACTTGAGATACTGTAACAATTACAGAAACAGAGTTACCAAGATTTCTTTTCAAAAATATGTCAGTGGTATGGGTAATAAATGTGTGTGCAAAATATGCAATTGCTGAGTGTGTGCTAAATTGGTGTGCTAGAGGTTGATGTTAAGTAAGTGAAATGAGAATTGTTTGGTGCTGACTCTGAATAGCACATGTACATCAGGGGCTATAACTTGGTTTTTCTTCACAACTTATCATTTCATTTCCACCAAACTTAACCATTTTACTCGTAATGTATATACTTTCAAAAAACTTACTTCATTTTAACATGTTAAAATGTAACGTTTTCCTTAAAGGACTAGCACAACTAAATCCCCCAATCAGCAAGTGTTTCATACGTTTGTAGTTCCTATCTAAAATAAGTT